ATAATATCATTGGATTCAAATTTAATTCCATCCATTACAGTAACCCACTTGTAACCTACTGTACAGCAGAGCGACATACACGACTTACCCGCTTTTTTTTTGATTAGTTTACCAAAACTTAAAGYTTTTTTATTATTTTCTGAAATAATTGTTTTATTGATATTATTTTATTTATTTAAAAAAAAGTATTGAAATGATTAACGCTTGTCATATATTATTATTATTATTATTATTTAAAATAATGTATAGGTACAACATTTTAATTAATTCAAATAAGTAATAATATATCACAGTTTGTATTAAGAGACAATAGGATGGGTGTTGCATGTTTAAATACATAACTAAATTTATTGTTTCTTAATAAAATTATTTAAATATAATAACGTACCTTTCCAATGCTATAAAAAGTCTGTGCTTGGGTTTCTTCCAAATCCTACATTTTAAATCATGGTTGGTGCTATTTTTTTTTACTTTTAAAATATTAAGATTTACACTAACAATAAAAATGATTCATTTTTATGTTTTTCAGTCTAGAAGCAAATGTTTATCAAGTAAAATCAATATTTCAAGCTGCCTGTTACTTAAAAATGGACCGTATTGCAAAAGAGTTGGCTAGTTTTATGCTGAAATACTTAAATGTTGATAATTGTATTGAGATACGTTCTCTTCCTTGTATATCAACAAGTATATCATTTATCAACCAAATTAACTCATTTATATCAGCACACGTAAGCTTAATACTGTAAAAAATAATTGATTGTGTTTTCTTTTATATCTCTAACTAAAAATTTTAGATGAAAGAGATTGCAGAAACTTCAACTTTCCTTTCATTACCATGCATTCAAATAGAAATTTTAAGTCAAACAAAACAAGAGATGACTTTGAGTACAGGCGATTCTGTATCTCAATTAGTATTAGATTGGATTAAACGTTGTTATGATGAGAATGAACCAGCAACATTCTTTAATGGTCTWATGGAAAAAGTAAAATATTAAAAACCAGTATTTGGATTAAGTTAAAATCATAATCATTTATTTATTTGTTTAGACATACATGTTATACTTGGCATTAGATAACATATTGCAGGATTGTTCAGAACTTCCATCTGGAGAGTTAAGCGATACTGAAATTGTTCAGGATTATAAAAAATTATCCAAGAAATCAACATCTATTCCTAAGGTACATAMAAATTTATAATTGTTTTATTGACTTATTTTCTATAATATTTGTATACTTTAGACTAGACGTAAAGGTCAAATACAACCAGCTAAATCTAGAGTTTTAATATGCAACCGTGAAATGCATGAACGGAGAGAAAGTTTTATTGATAGTGATTGGACTATACTTGGTGTTACTTGTGTTGGAGGTACCTATTTATTCTTTAATCTATCATAAATAAATCTTACTGTTATATATTTTGTGTTTAGAACATACCTTTTCTGCTTTGGCCTCATTGAAAGGTAAATTATGTTCTTTGAGCATAAAATTAAAACTAAATATATCTATGTTATCAAATCCACCTTCTACTCAACCTTCACCATTGCAAAGCCGAGCTGAGTCACAAGAATCATTGCCAGATCTTTATTGTGCTTTAGCTCTTATGTCATCTGGAAAATGTGCTATTGGTTGTGCTAATTTTAACAACAATTTATTAGTATGTGGAGGTTATGATCGAACTGAATGTATAAAAAACGTAGAGTCTTATGATCCTGAACAAAATGTTTGGGAAACTATTGAACCGATGTGTGAGGCCCGTGGGCGATTTAATATAGCAGTATTGAATAACAAAGTATATGCTGTTGGAGGTTGCAATGGAACAACAGAACTATCTACAGTTGAATGTTATKACATAATTAAAAAAAAGTGGATTTCTGTGACTTCCTTACCACTGGCTCGATCAAATGCTGGTAAATAATTAATTTGGTGATATACAAAATATTTTAAGTTGCCAAAGATGCATATATAATTTTTTAGGTGTTTGTGAACTGAATGGTAAAATTTATTGCATTGGTGGATGGAATGGTCAAGTTGGAATTAAACAAAGTGATGTCTATGATCCAAACACAAATAAATGGACTAGTATTGCTCCGTTACAAACAGGTAAGGTTGACTAAAATGCAGGAATTTAATAAAAAAAATTAAAAAGTTAATACAAATTTTAAACCAAATTAGGAAGAAACCAAGCAGGTGTGTGTGCAATGAATGGTAAAGTGTATGTTGTGGGTGGTTGTGATACTTGGAATTGTTTAAATACTGTGGAGTGTTATGATCCTGAGACAAATTCATGGTCATTTATTAAACCAATTATTACACCTAGACGTGGTTGTGGACTTGCGCATATCAAAGGTTAATATTTAGTTTTTTTTGTTTTTTAATTTATATAAAATTCACATACATCACCAATTCAATTTAATAATATATTTATTATGTTTCTACAGGAAAATTATATGTTGTCGGTGGTTCTGATGGAACTCAATCTCTAGCTACTACTGAAATGTATGATCCAAATGAAAGAATGTGGATTCCTGGTCCAAATATGATAACACCTCGTGCAAATGTAGGAGTTGCTGTAGTTGGGAATAGATTGTACGCCGTTGGGGGATTTTCTGGTAATTATTAATGCATTTTAAACATTTATAACATTTGGTCTTATTATCTTAAATTTTTTATTTAGGTAAAAAATTCTTGAACAGTATTGAATTTTTGGATGAATCCATGGATGAATGGACCAGATTTAGTCCAAGAAATAATTGTTCGAAATCAGAATCTCCACTTCCAACAACTGATACAGTCTGTAGTTTTAATGATTGTGAAGTTTTAAATGGTATCTCAGAGTAAAGAAAAGAAAAGAATTTCTTTTTATACATACATATAATTATTTTTCAAACATTTTGTATTTAAATAATATTTATTTTAATAGTGTCATTCTCTTACAATGTTCATATTGAATTCCCTAACTGGCAAGTTTTATAATACCTAAAACTGCTGACCAATCATATACTTTCAATATTTTCTATTAAAAAAAAAGACTATTTTCTTAATTTTTTTATGGAACACATTGTGTATAATCTTTTGATTACTCAGTTAATCTATAAAATATAACATTTAATAGTTGTTACTAGAAATAATTAAAGTGAATAGGAAATTTTTTTATAAGTTTCTTTAATTAATTAATTACATTTTTTTCTTACTCCGTTACAAAATATCAATCAATAATACTGTGTATTTACATAGGTAATACAATAATATGTAAATTTAAATCTGATTATTTTCAATTTGTAGCTGTCAAAAACTTATTAAAATGTTGATCACTGATGGGATTTATGACTGGATATTAATATTATGTGCTAGTATGTTTAGTTATAAGTAATTAATAACATATTTAAAATTCCAGTTTCAACTGTGAATTGGCTATTTACCAAATAATTACTATGTAACACTATTTATGGTTCGAGTACTTAGGTGACCAATTTTTGATGAACCTTATTTTAAAAATAAAACCTTTTGGAGAATGTAAATCCTTTTAGGTTAAAATACATTTTAAAATGCTAATGTTTTAGTTTTTGTCCTTGGTATTTTATAATTTATTGTAATAGACTCAGAAAATACATTAAATATATATTAAACACAAATATTGTTAATGACTAAGAAACAAAAAGAAACTTAGATGTATTAATTGCTGAGAAACATCACTTGGTTTAGTTCCTGAATGTATTTTATTATTTTACAAATAGTTCATTTTAAGCAATAATTATAACAGAATTTATTATGTTAATGATTGTCAATTGTATTTTTTTTTTTATTATTATTATTTGAATGGTTTCAAAATCTAAAGAAATTAAAAATAAAGTGAAATGTGTTAAATTTTTCTTTTTTCTTAATATGAAAATGTTATATAACTATCTGCATCCTTAACTTTTTAAGTTTTAAATATAGTTATCAGTACTTGAGAATAATGAAAAAGGTTGTATTTGTATTTTTTTCTTTTTAATTCACAAACGGTATACTAATTGTAAATACTCATGACTTGCTTTTGAATACAAATTTAAAGAAAAGTCAAGTCCACTAAATCAATTTGCTTCARTATTAATCAACACGGTTAAATCAGTTATTCAGAAAGTACACTTCATCACATTATGTTGTATTCGTATATTTTGTTTGTAAATAATACATTCTTGAGAAATGAGAATCCTGTTTATGATGTTTACTTGTAGTTGATACTGAATAACTTATGACTTCTAAAATGGTAATAATCAAAGTAACTTGTTGAAAATCCACTTACTTAGATGTATTTTTTTTTGAAAAATATTTATGTTTTTAGAAATATTACTTTTTCTTCTAAAAATGTAGTAAGGAATTACAAATGTTATTTCTTAGTTTTATGTATGTAATATGAAAGTAATATGTTACATAAGTTATTACATCATATCTTTCTAAGTTTGAAATACATTGCTATCTCAACTTCAGAAATTTAACATATTCCACAGAAAAGTAATAACTGCTGATTGTGTACTAGGTAAAACCTATGCAAATAATGAGCTCACAAAAATTCAAGAATTGAACGTATGTTTTATAAACATCAAACAACTTGTATTGTGGTAATGGATCCTGGAATAATCCGTATTTTAAGTTTTAAAAAATGTTAAACTAATAACTTATGCGATTTGATAAAATATATTTATATATATATATTAGAATAAATTTAAAGTTATACATTTGTAAATACTATTGCTATCACAACATTGAACATTTTGATAAATTTAGAGATTGAAGGCCCTTATTTTAGATACATGGATATTATCTAAATTCAAATAAAATACAATTAATAATTTTGAACATTTAAAATACATAAGTGATAAATTATATAGATCGCTCAATTGCTTTATCTATATTGAAAAAATATGGAACATGCACTTACACTAATAAACAATATTTTGATGTGACATTATTTTGTTTGAGATCATACATCGCACTTTTAAAATTTTTTAGATTATCTAATTAAGTAGTTTTGACTAAATTAATGAATATTAAAATAAAATTATATAGAAAAAATTATTAATTAAATAAATTAGACAGTGGTAATAAAAATTGTCAAGATTCTATACAAACAAATAAATATAATTTTAGTAAATTAAATTAACTGTATAACAATTAATGATGTGTTTACACTTTTATAAATAAATATACTATTAAGAACACTTAACAAACATTTATAGAAATAAAAATATATTGGTATGTATATACATTAAATTATATTTTAAATTAAAAACTACTTGAACACAATTTTTTTTTCCCCCAAAAGATTTGGAAAAAG